TGACCCCCCCTCAGCCCTCCCGCCCCCGGACACCCTGCTTACCTGGTTCTGCAGGGAAGCTGCATTCTGGCTTGATCAAGAAAACAAAATGGCCACCGGCAAAAAGCCTAAAGACCAAGGGGAAGCAATGCCTTCCCTGGGTCTTAGTGCTCAACCATTCCCCTATTCCTATCCCTATTCTGACTCTGCACGCGCTCTGAAAAGGGTTGTGCTGTTTTAATGCTGTTTGTTTGTTTATTTATTTATTTTGCTTTGGTCTCCCCCCCCCCCCCCTTTTTTCCCCACTCAACAGAATTTTTTCCCCTGTTTTTTTTTTGGGGGGTGGGGAGAAGGGAGAAGGGGTTGGTATTTTTGGTTAAACCATCTGGCAACTCTTTATTCATACCTACACAAAGGTATGAATAAAGACATTACCTGGCTAGTACACTACCTTCCACATCCTAATGACTTACCCAAACAATGGGTACTTAAGAACAATTTTCACCTTCTCTGTCAGCTTCCCATAACAGGAATGCTCGAATTCACTATTCTCCCCCCGCCTTCCCTCTGCCCCCCCGCCCCCCAGTCCCTATTTATTTTGGAACTAGACTTTTAATACTCCATTAATCTGAAGAGTAGCTGCTAGACTGTTCATTGTTTGTTTTTCCAGTTATAGACTAACTTGGCTACCCCCTGATGCTTATAAGAGCCCAGTAAGCAATGGAAGTGCTGGTAATGCTGTCAGACAACATTGACCTCCCATGGCTTGGCAAATTCTCTGGTTTGGCGCTGGTCAGCTTCCGAGGGTTCTGGACTAAAGCGGTTCAATCTGTGTTACCTTTGGAGCAACCCATAGAAGAAAGCAAGTTATATTAGTATACACCTGGGCAAAGGATAAAGAGGACACAGATCAGATACATAAACATGCCTGAAATCACTCAAGTTACGTTCTCTTCAAGAACTACAACTTGCATCAGCTGCAGCTAGAACACAGGATAAGCTTCTGCCCTGGTTGCAGACTTTGGCCCATGCTACTCCACAAACAGAGCTCGGCTCAGCTTCCTCTGTCTACTAGGTCATGTACACTGCAGCTAGCTTGCTTTTCAGTCTGCTGTTAATATGTTGATTCTGTAGCACTAACTCTTCAATTTCTACTTTTTATCATTTATTCGCACTGAGCTTGCAACTAAAAAACCCATTTAGGAGTTGAGGGTCTGTTCACACCTACAGTGAAATATTTCCTGTCTCAAAACAACTGTTAACTTATTTTTTCTTTGTTAAAAAAACCCAAACACACCAACAACACTTGCACCTGACAATTTTTCCTTTCTTTTTCCTAGGACTATTCGTTACCTTATACGCCGCAGACCAACAAGTGCAAAGACGAACACTCGGAATACTTTGATGAAAACGTAAATAAGTGTTGCAGCAAGTGCCGTCCAGGTAACGAATTTAGGTTGTTTATTATGACCATTCCTTGTAAGGCGAAATTCACCTGATTTCTGGATAAATGTGATATGCCTGTATCATTGAGACAGACCGAGGATCTGTTGATTTTTATTGCTTTAATATACTTGCAGCCCTAAGACGTTGCGTGAGTGATACTGGGAATGAGAGAGAAATTTACCACAGGGCATGTAGTTAATCACCTGAGTTAGTTTGTTATAAAGCTGGACAGAGTTTGCCAAAAGGTTCACCTAACTTGCTGAACATTTGGATGAGGCCGGGCCCTGAGTATTATCTGGCATGGTTTGGCTCCTAGCTAGCTGCAGCTTTGGCTGTTTCATCGTGAGGTTTGGGGTGTGTTGGGAGTTTGCGAGGTTCTTAAAAGTGAACAGAAGCAGCTTCACCTGCCAGTTTTCTGTGCATAATCTTTTTATTAAAATATTTGCAAAAATGTATTTTTATTCAAGGAATATGATGTATAGAATGAATTAAGCCACCAAATCCTTGCCCCAATTTAACATTATTAGCCAATATCAGCCCAAACCCAGTAATTGCAAATATCCCTTTAATATACTATACTAAAGTATACTATTAATCACTTTAGTATTTACACAGCATGATTAGCTACAGTCTATCTCTGGGCAGATTCGGTTATTCTCTAGTTATTCATTATGGAGTTAGTTGCCTTTTCCCTATGAAGCACTGACCGCTTTCAAAGACAGAATTCTAGAGTACATGGCATTTCCTATTGTAGGTGTTCCCGCCAAGACTTTTTCCACTCAGCCTGTCCAGAATACCTCGTCCAGTTCTGTGAGAATACTTCATCCAGTTCTCTACTCAGCTCAGTTCTGGATTTTTTATCTTATTTATTGTGCCTGGATGTTTTAAGTACCTGGAGTGCCTGCAGACATGGAGCCCCTGAGCTCCCAGTGGCTGCTGTTCACCATTTCAGGTCAACGGGAGGGGCGGGAAGTTGACGTCCGCTGGCCCATACTGCTTCTTGCAGCTCCCATTGGCTTGGAATGAGCCAATGGGAGCTGAGAGACTCTGTGTCTGCAGACAATCCGGGTAAAGAAAACATCCCGACGTGTCAGCGGCTTACACTGATGAGTGGGGACCAGAAGTTTGCAAACTGCTGATATAGAGTTGGCTTATGAATGGGTCATTGAGATTTTTACAATTCTTTTTTTTTAACTTGGAATGGGGGTGGAATTGGCTTATGAACAAAGAGTCTTATGATTGAATATATATAGTTCATTGCATTTGTTATACAATATGCATTTTTTGATTGGCTTTTGTCTGTCCATGGGTTTTTCACTGGAACCTTATCTTTACTTCCCAGGTTTATTTTGTCCACAGTCCCTAGTTAGCATCAGGGTAGTGTTGCTTTTCTTATCTAGCTCAGACAGTCTGACTCCAGCATACTGTTTTCCATGTCCCTAATTACAACTTCACCTTCTTTTCACCTTCCCAGTTATGCCCGCTAAGAAATGAAGCATGTTACTTATGACAAACCAGGCCTACCCGTGTTCCAATGCAGGCCGGCCAATAGGCTGGAGCAAAGAGGGCAGTTGCCTTGGGGCCCAGTGATTCTAAAGCAGTGTTTCTCAAACTTTTTTTATATAATTTTTTTTTAAAACCTACAGTTTTCAGACACACAATTTTTTTTTCTACTATTGCAACACATTTGTTTAAACAACTTAATTGTAGCTGGGTGGGCGATGAAATTTTTGGGTGTAAAAAGTACAAAAAACAATAAAGTGCTGTAAAACTTAAAACAAAAATTCAGTTTTCTTCAAATTTCAGATGTGCTGATGTACACCTCCCCTCCCCAAATTTCTCTCGAGTATCCCTAAGGCTACTCGTGCCACTGGTTGAGAAACGTTCTAAAGGATCCGGGGCTGCTGGCCACCACAACTGTGGCAGTGCCTGGAGCCCTGGGCCCCTTAAAATCACCACTGGAGCACTGTGTAGTACATTCTGGGCAGCTCTAAGGGCTGGGGGGCGGGCAGTGTGGCGCGCTCCAGGCAGCACTGAGGGCTGGTGGGCAGCAAACTCCCAGTGGCACTGTGGGCTGTCTGCTCCGGCCCTCTCCCACTTTGCCAGGGACCCAGCGTGGCTGTTGTCTCCCTTGCTCCAATGACTTCTTAATAGTAACATCTTGTTGGTAAGCAGTTACTGAGCAAAGAAAGCGTTTGTTTGGTTTTGTTTTGTTTTGTTACAGGCCAAGCCATGTAGTTGCTTGTTATTGTGACTGTCTACCAAGAATTTTGGTAATACAGATATAAAGCCCAAAGAGAGCAGCAGTTTTGTGGGTTCATTGTCATGAAAGAGCAAAGCCACCAAAACTATTTTACACCCCTGGCATTTGCCTCACAACATGCTGAGCAAATACTCTTTGCCTCTGAGTGCAAAGTTCCTGTCTCAGAGATTTGGATGATTAAGCAGGAAACAAGCATGTGTTAAAGCAGCCTAAGCTGTTCGAATTGACCAGAAATGTCAAGATACATCTTTTGGGTTTCCTGTGTTCCTGTGGAGGCAAGAGTCATGATTCATAATTAAACTCTCACGCTCTAGAAGTAGTGATTAAGCTCTAATGTCGCCCTCTCCCCTTTATTATAGTTCACAATAACAAGCCCAGGATTTGGACCAGTGCATAGGAAACTGAAAGTCTCTGTAGTTGTCAATATCTGTCAAGTTGAACGGAAGGCTATTTCTTGCTGATTTATTTAAAAAAAAAATTTGAAAGATATTTAAGTGCTGCCATTAGCATTACAAAGCTTAGGAGCCTCAGTATCATTTTTCAAGGGGAATTTAGGCAGTTAGGAATCTAAATTGTCAATGAGATTTGGACTCCTCAGTGAGTGTGGTGTTATAATGCTGAGCACAACAGGGCCTAAATAACTTTTAAAAATGTGAACCTAAGAGTCTAAATCATTAACAGGATGTATGGATGCAGAATTAGAAATTGTAGAAAAAATATATTTGAAAACAATATATTTGGAAATAATTTCTCATGTTATCTGGGTTATCTGCCAGGGCCTAGCTTCATGGTTCCCTGTATCTCCAGTACATCAATAATCGCAAACATAGAGATGCTCAAAATTGGGGCCGCAGTTAGCTATGAAAGGTTTCTTGGCTGTGCTTCAGTGCTCCTTTCATTGGGCAAGCACCTCCTCCAACATGTTCCTGTATATCATGCTCCGATACCAGATATGGACTGGCTACAGAGCTTCTTTGTGAGCGATACACAGCAGGTGCATTTTAATATACAATTCTTCAATGCTCTGCCCGTAGGGCTGAAATAAGGTACAAGAGAATCTCAGAGTTACTAACACTCCAGCGTTACAAACGGACTCGTGAACCACACCCCTTCTTTGAAAGTAAAAGTGTGCAGTCCAGCAGCAGTAGAGACCAAAAAAAGCAAATACAGTACAGTGTGCAACAAACATTACTAAACAAAATAAAGGGCAAGTTTAAAAACAAAAAAAGAGAGATGTGACAGGGAAGTTTCTGTGCTCGTTTCATTTAAATTAAGGTTAAAAGCAGCCCTTTTCTTCTGCATCGTAAAGTTTCAAAGCTGTATTAAGTCAGTGATCAGTTCTCAGTTGTGAACTTCTGAAAGAACAACCGTAACATTAACGTTTTGTTCAGAGTCACGAACCACCTCCATTCTTGAGGGGCCTAGAATTCTGAGATTCTACTGAATGCCACATACAGTGCCACCTAGTGGCTGACAAGTACAATATTAGAGTGGTCCTGTAGAACCTTAGAGACTAATATATATAATCATGAGCTTTCGTGGGGACAATCCACTTCTTCAGATGAGTGGAACAAAAGACACAGAAATCCCAACATTTAAAGCAGAAAAAGGGGTGGGGGGAGAAAAAAATAACCCAGTCAATTATAGTGCCTATGCTAAATGAGGCTAATAGAGTGAACTATAAGTGTCGGATACTTAGCTTTTGATATCGCTTGGGTGTTGAATATAACGGCCCATCCAGTTCATGTCTTTAAGTCCCTGAGTAATGGTGTCAAATTTGCACATGAAGGCCAGTTGCGCAGTCTCTCTCTGCAGTTGGTTCCTGCAGTTACTTTGTAAAAGAATGGCTACTAGGTGGCACTGTGTGTGGCATTCAGAAGAATCTCAGAGTTCCAGGCTCTTCAAGAATGGAGGTGGTTTGTGACTCTGAACAAAACGTTCATGTTATGGTTGTAAATCCATTTGTGAGTGCCCAGGCAGGTACAATAGAGTGTAGCGCAGGGGTTTTCAAACTACGGGTTGTGACCCAGCATTGACTTGTGGAATATCAGACCCTGGGTCTCCATGCTGCCGGGAGATCAGGTGACCAGTGGGGATGCTAAGGCCGCTCCCTGCCTGTCCTGGCGCCACAGACTGCAGGAGTGGGTTGAGAGTGGGTGGATCTGGGAGGGCGATAGGGTGCAGGAGTGGAGTGGTGGTGGGAGAGGGGCCACAGGGATGAAGCACCAGTTCCCTAATTCTGGGGACTGGTTCCAGGGAAGCTGGGGGCCAGATCCGGCCCCTGGGCCGCAAGTTCTTCATCCCTGGTTTAAGAGTTCTTGGATGGATGGACAGACAGACAGACACTCAAATATATAATAGATGGGCTATGGTTCAGCATTGTCTCTTAGGGTTATTTGTACTGGGTCTCCTTTCAAAAGTCCAGTATCACCAAATATTCCAGCAAGTTTTTCCCCCTGTCTCACATGGCTGCCATGCTATGGCTGAGAAGACTGCTGGTCTGTGATCCTTTTGCTCACACTCACTCTGAATGTTTTTGTTTTTGTTCTTTGCTAAATCCGTGCCTGCATGTTCGTAAGGTGCTTTGAGATCTTCCTGGCAAGGAAGATGCTGATAGGTGCTGAATATTTTTATTACGCAGCTCAGATCATCAAACTCTGCCCTTGCGTCCATGTTTGCAACTCCTACTTAAATCCAATGGGCCTTGAGTACATCTATCCGTGAGTCTGTGGTAATTCTAAGATGCTTATCAGCTTGGTATCCAAGTGCCATGCACAATTAAGAAGTATCTTAAGTCAGAATTTGGCGCAATATTTATATTGCAATATTTACGAACCAGAGGATGAGGAGTTGAGGTTGCTGTGGCAATTCTTTGCTTGAATCCTTTAATGTTTCAGTCTCACCATTGTTTTAACATCTGTGTTGTGGTTATCAAAACTTCTTGGTGTTTCTTTTAATCTGTGAGCAAACAGGATGATGATGAAGGGAAATCAGTCCCACGGCTCTGAACGAAACTTACTAGCTGCAATTCCTACTGAGTCATTCCAAGCAGACATTTTCATTGTTTGTTTTGTAGGTTTCCATATGCTTCACAGCTGCAATAGCAGTACCGACACACAATGTGAACCTTGCCCAAATAACATGTACACGGCGATCTGGAACAAAGCTCGACGCTGCTTGGGATGCTCGTCACCCTGCGGAGCTGGTATGCCTAAGTCACTGTCTGGGATGGGTATCCCTTCCCGAGCTCTGTTTTGTCTTTGTCACGTGGAGAATGAAAAGACAGATCTGAATTTTATTCTAGTGTGAAACTCACCTCTGTGTTGAGAGCGCTAGGCAAAGATGCCCGCACACTGCTTAAGTCCCACTTCAGCTCTGTTGTGAAGACAGCAGAAGTGCGTGGGCCTTACACCGGGCATCTTCACAAAAGCGAAGTTCATTCTGGATGAATAGTACAATCCAGAGGGAATTGATTGTGTGGAATGATGCTAATAATCTACCCCTAGGTCTGGATTGGTTGTGGGGTTTTTTTTTTTTCTGTCTTCTAAATGAGGGGTCTCAAACTCCTAGCCCACGGGCCATCTGTGGCCCGAGCAATTACGTGATCTTATCTGGAAGTCCTAGCAGGCTGTGGTGGGTGGATTTGGTCTCTTATAGGCCCCCAAGCTCTGCCCTTCTTCAGCACCCCCCTGCTCTCTCCTCCTCCATGGCACCTTGTCTCTTAGGGACGCAGTGCCGTGGATCTGTTGGGGGGACATGACACCATGCGGGAGCAGCGGCTGGCTCACCCGTCTTCCCCCTGCACTCTCTGGCTATGTCTAGACTGCAAGCCTCTTTCGGAAGAGAGCGTCTAGACTGCACGCGGAACTTTCAAAAGAGCAAGCCGCTTTTTCGAAAGAAAGCACCCAGTGAGTCTGGATGCTCTCTTTCGAAGAAGCCCTATTTACATTCAAGAACGCCTTCTTTCGAAAGAAGCACTTTCGAAAGAAGGTGTTCTTCCTCGTGAAATGAGGTTTACCGCCGTCGAAAGAAAAGCCGCGTTCTTTCGATTTAATTTCGAAAGAACGCGGCTGCAGTCTAGACGCAGGTGAAGTTTTTTCGGAAAAAGGCTACTTTTCCCGAAAAGAACCCTGAGTCTGGACACAGCCTCTGAGGTTCACCTTCACTGTAGAATAGATGGATTATCCTGCAATGCTCCAGGTCCAGCATAGTCTCAGATACCATCCCGATGGGCACACCAGTAGAGATGGAGGGTATGCAGGCTGCTTTGCGATCCACCTGCATGCAGATGCAGGATCGTGTTTTGGAAGCTGCAGTCCACATAGTCATCTCCATACTAAAAGAGAAAGGCACTTGCAATTTGCTCCATGTTATGTAAATGAAGCATAGTCCTTTGATCCTGGCAGGTTGCCAGTTTGACCCTTGGACAGGGTGGGCAACCCCTGGCCTGATCTGATGTCCATAGGACCAAAGCACCACCAGGACTCTCAGCTGAATGCACATTACACTGATCGTTGTTAGAAGTGCCCAGGGCTCGGGCTGCTGGAAGCATGGTGAGGCCAGGCTGGTCTCTATGGGAGAGTGTTGGTGCCACAGTAGGGTTTGAGTGGATCCTTCTTAAGCAGCTCTGTGACCCCCATGTGGCAGGTTGCAAGGCACCCCTCACTCCCTTTTGCGCCCCACTCCCACCCCAGCTGCCCGTCGGTAGCAATGGGAGGAACAGCACTGCCAATGAAGGTTTGGCCCCATCATGATGGGTGGAGCCAAAACGGAGAGCGTGGCATTGCAACCTAGTGCACCGGGGTCACAGTGCTGGTCAGGATGGGTGTGGGGCCATGTGCCATCTCCCCATCTGAGAGGGCTGTGGGGCAGCCAGAGCTTCTCCTTGCTGCTGCTGTGAGGCCAGCCCCTACACAAGGACTCCTCCCTGGGCAGCTGTCCAGCTTCACCCCACTTCCAGCAGCTGTTGAGCCCTCAGGACCTGCTATAACTATGGGGAGCTGCACAGGATGAGAGCCTGCACAGGAGAGCCAGCCAGGAGAAAGGAGATGGTTAGCTGTGACCAGGAAGGGGAAGGAAGTGAAGGGTTCAGCTCTGTGTACCAAAATTCTAGGGGCACCCCTTCAGAACACTCTATTATAAACTGGTATATTTTTCTCTCCCTGTGAGGTATATTTGCAGCTCTTCTGGCTCCTGTTCTCTTTTTGTATTGAAAACATAATAGTCAGAGACACGAGAGCTTAGATTTAGGACTGCATTTCAACTGCGGGGACCCAGATTTAAGTGTAAATTTTGCAGATGCTAATTGGGCTGGTACAAAAGACATCACTTTTCAGAGAATATGCCCACATATATGCAAAACCCATTGCAAAAGCTTTTTTTCGAAAAAGGAATCTGAGCAGTCTAGTGACACATGCTGCAAAAGAACTGACCTTCACTTCCATCATGTACTAATAGTGCAACAGTGAGGACTGTCACTTTCATTGTTCCTTAAAACTTGCTTTCTTGTTTTTCGAATTAGGACTAGTGCAGACTCAAGAATGCACCCGGACGCAGGACCGAATCTGTAGCTGCTCAGCCAACTCCTACTGTGCTTCAGGTTTGAAACCCTCTCAAGGGCGCTGCCTGTTCTGTAGAGCACACAAAACATGTGCTAAAGGCTATGGAGTTTCCAAACCAGGTGAATATTACGTCTGAGTGAGCAGGTTCCTTGTGCAAAGAATGACTGGATGAAGTGTGAGAGTTTTCGCTATTTGCCTGCCCATAAAAATAATTGCTGATCTATCTTGGACGCTATAGATTACAAAAATGTTTTCCTCTGGTCTCCTAAATTATTTTTCTAGGTATTTCTAGTGTGCTCATCATAACAATATCGATGCACCAAATACATCAGTAAGAGTCACAATAGAGTTGACAAGGGTGGTGATGGAGGGAATGTAGGGTTCCTATCTTGCCACAGATGCCTGTTTCAGTAAAGCCCTCCATGTCTGTCTCCACTCCGAGCCTCTCTTGTTTTATTATTTAGCTCCATTTTACAATTTGCTCCGTATGTGTGAATGACAGCACGAGGCCCTTCTGCTGTTCAGATCCCATATGTGCTCTCAAAATAGATTCTGCAGAAGAAATCTTGCGCTGGCCCTTTGCACATAAGTTTTTCACCCCACATTTTCCATGGAGCCTATGACAGTGTAGCTGTCTCAAGATGGCGTCAGACTCTCAAAATAGGTAGAGCATCAAAGAGCCCTAAGAAAATGAAGACTCTTTTTAAAGACACAGGGTGAAATCCTGGCCTCCATGTTGTCAATGAGAGCTATGCTAGAGCTTCAATGGCACTAAGATTTCACCCCCAGAATCGCAAGAGAGAACATGTCGTTACCATCGATTCAGGACTCTATTCCCAATGTTAGATGGGCAGCATGACTGGGGTCATTATCTCCCCAGGATAAAGCCAGATTCTGCTCTCACTTCCATTGACTTCAGTGCAAGAATCTTATTATACAACAGGAGGAGAATTAGGGCCTTGTCTATTTTAAGCAACTCTTGACTTGGTCTGTTTCTTTAAACTATTCATTCTGTTTAGTCAGCAACGGCAGCTCTTGGAGATGAATCACAGTGAATAGACCTTTCATCAACACTCTACCTGGGGCTCAGCTGACTGTTCTGCCCGTTAATTTCTATTTTTGTTATAAATAAGTAAATCAGGAGTATTAATCAGCTCCCATCTTTAATTATTTAACATAGCTACATACAAATACATGTAGGAGAGCTACAAGGTTGGGACAAAGTGCTCATTAAATTGCCTTCCCTTTGATGTCCCTCTGCTTCAGCAAGTTTCTCAATGTGATGTTTCAGTGCTAAATGATCCTGTGTGTGGGTCAGTCATTTTTTTCACTAGTTCTTTTCTTAACAGCTTGCCAGGAGCAAGAAGCAATTACCAAATGCCCTTCTGTTGACATAAACATGGACTTTCTTGAAGGGCAGCGTCCCAACACGGCATCAGGGGGTTTTGGGTACATTTTTTATTGTATTTATAGAGGGCCATTCAGTCGAAAGTCCCAATGCACTTATCAGGCTCTGCTGATTGCTAATAAATTGTGGATTTATTTTTATAGTTCTGTTCTCAGTGAGAGTTTTTTTTCTGAGTAAGAGCTTCAGAGGGGTAGCTGAGTTAGTCTGTAACTGGAAATACTTAAAAAACAAAGAATAGTCTAGTAGCACCTTAAAGACTAACAAAACATAGAGACGGTATCACGAGCTTTTGTGGGCAAAAAGCTGGACTTGGACTTTTAATACTCCAGTCATCTGAAGAAGTGGGTTAAGCTCGTGATACCATATACATGTTTTGTTAGTCTTTTTAAGATGCTACTAGATTATTCATTGTTTTTTAAGATGGTTTTTTTTTTCCCTGAGTAAGGACAGAGTAAAAAGGACAATATTGTTTCCACACACCCACTAGTCAAATACAGCCACGTCTTGGGTGGAAGATCACAATTGATATTACATGTATTTATGAAGTGCATATTACCATGGTATCTGCAAAGCAACACTACACTCTGGTTCAGGACAGAGAACGAAGAATTCCTAACGCAATAAAACTTCAGGGGAAATTTCAGATGAGCAAACTGTAATTCTTGAGAAGTAAATTGGCTAGGACTCAAGAATTAACACACTACACTTGTCACAGTTTCCATGGGATCTTTAATGAACCCAGGCTGAGAGATGACACATCCACCAACACAGGGCCCCTAAAACCACACTGGAGATTGAAAGTTCTATTTTGAATTAAGTGATCTGTGAGCCTTGTGCTGTCGTTACACAGGGATGAATTTCATCCTTACTGATCGAAATTTTCATGTGTCTGGAGTAGAGACATTAGTTCTTTTTTTAATAGTGGCTTGTACTATTGTGCCTTTGGGGTCTGCTGTGTATTTCTTAGGGCTGAGTGACCTTAAAGTGAGGGTATGGGACGTAGCATGTGATTCTTAAATTGTGTGTTCCCTGGCAGCTTTGTATTACATGGCTTTCTTTTCATTCTGTAATCTTTCCTTTATGATCCCCGTCTTTCCTTCTGAAGTATGCCGCCTCCTGTTCCAGTCAT